CTCTCGAAGTGCTTCTAGAGTCTGAGGAGGACGTTGCAAATTGAGCAATCTCCTACCCATCATATCCCACACATGCTCAATTGGGGATAAGTCGGGAGATCTTGGTGGCCATGGTAACAATGTGACATCATTATGTTGAAAGAAGTCTATTGTGACTCTTGTGGTCGGGCATTATCTTGTTGGAAAGTTGGATCTGCCAGGGTGTCAAGATAGGGTAAATGATGGGGTTCTAGAACTTCGTGGATATAACGCTGCGCGTTCATGTTACCTCTGATGAAGATTAAAGGTGACCTAGAACCATAAGCTATAGCACCCCAAGCCATAACTCCAACAGTGTGATGAACATGTCTTTCAACAAAAAACTGTGGATTCCTCCTTTCACCACGTCGCCTTCTAACCCTGGCACGACCATCGTGCATGCCTAAACAAAATCGAGACTCGTCACTAAAGACAATACTGTTCCATTCCTGATCCCAGAGTGACCGTTGTCTGCACCACTCAAGGCGATTACGTCGGTGTGGCCAGTGTGGCCGGTATGAAAACAAGCCAAAAATTCTCATTTGTCGGTAAACACTTCGCATCCCAATAGGTCTTCCGTGTTCTGCAAACCATTCATTTGCAATGGACCTGGTAGTGGAGAAACGGTCCCTTAAGGCCAATAATCTTAGGCGGCGATCTTCACGGTCTGTTGTTCTACGGCGGCGTCCAGTGCCCCTTGCTCTTTGCGTACGGCTTTCTCGAAGCCATGCCTGACAACACCTAACCACAGTGTCTACACTTCTTTGGACTCTAACTGCAATTGCCCGAAAAGAAAGTCCAGCTTCCCGAAGTCCCACTATACGGCCCCTATCAAACTCACTAAGTTGACGAAATTGTACAGGTCTCCGTACTCTAGGCATCGTAACCGATCGTAAAGGATGTCAAGAACCAAAATCCGCCAACGTTGATTTTTGCTGCGGCTGAAATATCCATTTTTAGAGCGTTAGTGAATTAAAAAAAAGCAGTACAAAAACCGGAATGTCCAACTGATAAGGCTGAAAATTTTTTCACTTGTTATTCACAGTAAGATAAATACATTCACCAACTTTTATTAAAATAAAACCACTTAAACTGGGTGTTCGGATTTATATGTCACTTAGTATATTTCCTGTAATGCGGTGTATCTGCCTGTTGGAAATAAACGTTATTATTATTATTATTATTATTATTATTACTATTATTATTATTATTACTATTATTATTACTATTATTATTATTATTATTATTATTATTATTATTATTATTATTATTATTATTATTATTGTTATTATTAACAAACTTGCGCCAGCTGGAGACATCTATTATTGGGCTACAATTTTTATAATATTTAAAGTTCTGTTAGTTTCACATGAGGGCTTTTTTCAACATTCTGGCAGAAATTATTGATTTTCTCAAAAAAAATTGAATACATTGTTATTATTTTTTTATGAGATAGTAGCTGAATAATATCTAAACGAGCTCACGAAAACCGCATCTCGATATTTTGTTCCTAACCTAAAATTTGGTTCAAAGAAGTTTTGTTTCTTAAACTAACTTTACTGGATTTTTTTTATTATTAACTTGTGGAACGGTTTGAAATAGAATGGTTTTTAATGCTCCCGTAAATGCTCGAAATGTTGACCATCACGCTTTAAGCATTTTCCTGAAGCCTCTCATGGTAGATACAATTGCAGCTTCAATCTCGCCTCTCGGTATGTTATGTATTTTATTACGAATCCGATTTTTCATGTCTTCTCTGGTTGTAAGTTGAGTCTGAAACACCAGGTCCTTTAACCGTACCCATAAATAAAAATCAAGACAAGTCATTTAAGTGGGTTCGTATCTCTTACCGTTTTCGGGATCCTAATCGTGAGAGTCGAATTTAAAGCTCTCGGTATACAAAGGGTTTATGATCAAAATAATCTTATATTGACTTTACTATATCTGACGAACTCCATGGACCGAAGCGCGGGATTGTCCCGAGTTTAAGTCTGAATTGAATGCATGCCGGTTGGCATTGAGGCACGTTGAGGCGCCGACGTAACAGACATTTAATCATATCTGCGAGGGAGCTTAGTCTCCTGACCCATAAAAGCCGATGAAATAATGTGAACGCCTTCTAACTGGAGCTTTGTTAGATGAGCTCCATTTATATTCCTGAATTATTTGGGGCTTTGCTCCATCTAACTGTTACTTTCGCTAGCGGAATATGCTGTCACGTAAATTGACTCTTAAAGCCTTTGGTATTAATCAGAATTAATGCGGAGCCGATTTCTGAAGAAGTATTCAAGTCGCCATCCCAAAAGGGAATTCTTTTAATATATAAAGGACGCCCACTCCAAAAGACTTGGTATTTGCTTCTGGCACCTAAACCGAAGAGTATAGCATCGCATATTGTACAGCACTGCTAACGCGATGTGACTTTAAATACGACGGGAGCCTTGCCATTCTGTGGTTTCTAGTTCCACGAAAATACCCTTTTTTGTCCAATCTCCGACCCGTGCAATTAATATTTTTGTTGAAGGTTAGATGCTCATCGATTATTCTACCTAAATATTATCTACAAAATCAGGAACCTTTCTCTCAATTTTCAAATATAGATCTAGTAGTTTCTTACAACTATTTTTCGAACCTATTAAAGCCATTTTACACATATAATTTTATCTAATCTGCTTCCAACCATATACATAGTAAGCTTACCCGTTTCACTATTTATTACACCTGCAGTATAATAATTTCCCAAATCACTAACTGAAATCAATGTATCATTCACAAAAAAATTACAAGTGAATTGCTAAGGACATAGTGAAATGCAAATCAATAAAATTCATAAGTACACTCACTTAACATGCCTGATCTATCATTTTTGCACGTCGAATCTCGAACGAATTCACCATTTTCATTCCTAGTATTCAAACACAAGTTATAATAGATATAATAACATAATTTAAGTTTCAATAACCGTACAGCCAAGAGCTCATGGATGCTTTATACTGTTCTTATTACCATCACCATACTACACTTGTAAAAATTGATGTGCTGTTGACTTTACCTACAATTTATACATTTCTCAATCATCGTATGAACTTGCCCTCCCCTTCTGGCCTGGCTACGCCTTTGTATATACAGAATAGAGAGTGATAGGCCCAGTACGCTGCCTTGTGGTACACCATAGTCGATAGAAAGATTATTCGATATTTTTTCAACAAGAACTTTCTATAAATAGTTTCGAATACTTTTTTTAGTCAACAGACACAAACACTATATCTTATTCTATCTCCTTTTACTTCCTAGCTACTGGCGAGGAAGTATTGTAATCGCGAAAGATTTCGAAAATGAGATATTATGTCTTTTGGATGTTCTGACTCAGTAATTTCAGTCTATGGGTCTGTCTTTCTGTCAATTTTGCCTGTCCATGGCCCGTCTATAACTTAGGAAATAGTGCTCGGATTTTGATAAGTTTTTCACACAGATTTACTACTAGGCAAGGACGGAAAAGCTTTGGAGTTTTTGAAAGTCGGCCCACTGGCAAGGCAGCTTCAGGGGAAAAAACGATAAACAATAAAAAGTTTCAGACTTCGTTTCCTGATGCTTCAGAGGGTCCTGATAATTCCAGAGGTTAAGGACTTGATATAGAGTGGATGAGAACGAGTATATGTCAATTTGTTGGTGCTAGCAACTGAACGTAATTCTATACACCTAGTAGACATATTTCGTATGTAATGCCATACTGGATTTGCGGGTGCCGTGGCAGGCACAGTCGTCACGTTGCTGGTCGGTCGGTAATGTCGGTGGGGCGCGATCATACTGCTGACAAATCTGTGAGGACTATGGACTTATTGTACGAGCCTATTTGACTGACATGATCCATTCAATTTATTTGTTGTTCATGTCCGTATCCAAATTTTTCCTAAGAGGATCTAGCTTTTCTCACTCTACACATACAGATATACACTTCCTTGAGACTGATTCGCTGATATATGATATCATTCAAACGTAGATGTTCTCGCAACTACCCATGCACTGTTACTTCGACAATTATGTCGCTGATTGGCATCAGGTTGATGAGCCACAATTGTCATTTGATACAGAATGTTTTTGCGACAATAGGCAAAAATGCAACAACAGGTTTTTTGGCCTATTCGTCTGATTTTCGAAGTATCGTTTCATTTCTGGAATACACGCCGCTGAAGAACAACACTAGATATCGATTTTCTTCAATAACATATGAGCAATAACGTATAATAGAAAGGACCCCAGAACGTACAGTAAATAGGTCCCAGTCGATTTGCCGAGAATACCAGTGTAATATATTTCTCATATTCCTGGACAAAAGTTCGCATGGGACCAAAGCAGTCCTATGATTAGTTACGGAGAAATAAGGGTATGGAGTTTAGCTCAATTTATAAACATGTTAAATATGTCGATTGTGCTTCTCAGATCAAGAACTTAGACAATTGTTATCCTGAAAGAAATATTTCATTAAAAACTCAGTAAAAGTAATGTTCACTCTTACCCGGTTCCTCTTTCACCTTCAATGTAATAATATTAATAATGTTCTTTATTTTCCCATCATATATGTACATTTTACATACACACACATGAGAAACAAAATCATGAGAATCAATAAAATGTTTATACTTAGTTTGAGGAGGCTTGTATACTGCACCAACCACAAAACTGCACCTATTATAAACTAGCTTAACAAATAGTTGTTCTATATCACAGCTTACTTCTATCACGTCATATTTGATCTTAGCAGAAATATATAACAGAACACCACCACCTCTACCAGAATTTCGACCTTTCCTAATAAAATTATACCCTTCAATCATTAAATCATCAGAACTGATTTGATCATTTAGCCACGTTTCCGAAATAACCAAAATGTCGAATTGTTTCTCTTTTAAAAAGAGCTTTAGCTGGTTTAGTTTAGGAACTAGTGATTGTATATTTAAGTGACCCAAATAGACACATATCTCTCATAACTTAAGTGACTATTCTAAGACTAACCGCAAAATGTCAAATAAACACTATCGGCACACAAAAGACACTTATCAACAGAGTTAGTAGGAAAAAAGTTAGACATTACACAGTACCTTTACCACTCCTGTTTCAGTTTTGGCAAAAATATTACCGCTCCGTGTCCATAGATTTCAAAATCCATATTTTTCAGCTGCCTCCTTGACCAAGTTCAGACGTAATAGAGTAAGATCTTCTTTGATTATCACACCAGTACCTTTCAGCGACTTCTTCTTGTTGTAAATGGTGCTCTCGATAACATTACTTTTAAAAGTGACCACTAAATGCCTTGGCCGACCAGAAGTTTTTTGGCCCACCCTGTATGCAGCAACAATATCACTCTCGTCCACATCGACCTTCAATTTCTCTGCAAGAAATTCTGTCACCTTTGTTGTGGTATTTCCATTGAGAACCTCCTTCACTCAAAATAATCGAAGATTATTGTTTTTAGACTGTTGCTGTATAAGATCGAGTTTTTGTTCCAATTTGTTTTCATTCGTTGCAACCTGGCTATTATTACTTGTTTTCAGTAACTGGATCTCAGCTTCAAGAGATGCAATTTTGGCGTCGTAGTAGTGGAACTTTTCAGCCAGTTTCCTTGTTATGTTGGTAATGATAGCCTCGCTAATTGCATTTGCAATATTATTTGATCTCAGAGCCTCCACCAACGATCTCTCAAACTCTGCCTGGTTTCTGGTTGGCATTATGAAAGTAGAACATATACACCGACTGATAATAATTTTAAGAATGGATTTTGCTAGCACTAAACTAACTGTGTTTAGGAGAGATATTCACACACGTCTACATTCGGCGAGGCTCATAGTACTACTACTATATGAGCACGACCTTGATTTGACCTTATTAAGGTCCTAATCAAAAACAAGAAAACAACATTTCTGTGCCGTTGAGAATCGAAATGTACTAGTGAATTCTCTGAATTAATTCCGGAATTAACATCTAAAAATCAACTTGCCATTATATTCATCTTATAAGGATCATGGTCCAGCTCAACATCTCCCAACACCTTCCTACAAGGTGTTTTAATGGATTGTCCGAGTTTTCTGTCTGAGAACTACAATCGGCACATTCACTTTTTTTGCAAGTTGGGCAAACTTTATCACTCTATGAGAAACTGATAATTGGATTGCTTTGGTCTCATGAGAACTTTTGTTCAGGAAGTCGAGAAATATATCACACTGAATCCTTACATGGTAGTGTTCATGGTAAAAAATCAGTTCAATTGGATCGCGAGAGTCGGACTACCCCCTATCGCAATTTTTACACCTTGTATAACAATAGGTCAAAAATGATATTTTTGTAAGGTCCGGTCTCCTGATTAATCTAAAAAGTCGTATCCTTGAAAATGATGCATCAAAATAAGAAAATGATGCCTTCAACTACTTTTCTACTTTGCGGAATTTCCAATTTCTTAGATAGACAGATCAAAAGATATCATGCATAATAATGTACAATGTACAGTGCCACCTTGCATACAAACCCGTCCCCACCATAGGATGTCCTAGATTCACCCCAACCTTCTACACGTACTCTTATATGCATTTCCCGAACAGCTTTCTGGTTTCTCTTCCGGTAGCATCGACCCTTTATACTCTGATGTCGGAATGTGAAACCGCGAAAACAGTGACGTAGAAGCACTATTTTTGCAACCTGTTGGGAGGTCAACATTTAAATTGAATACTTATAAATTATTCGTGTTTTTCGTAGATGTCCCCCACCTACTTATTCTTTGAATGCAGACCTCGAAGCTATCATTCTACATCATCCATGCTCGGATGCCCTTCAGCGGAAGGATGACTATCTGAACGGCGTCCCTTCTCTAGCGAACAGGGATTCTTTCGCTCTAACACGTCGTCGGTGACCTGGCTCTCTCCTACCGCTACGCCAACGGGATTTGCTCCTGAGAGCTCTACTCCATGATGCCCTCGCGAGATGTCTCTGCCAGACATACCCGCCTGACTTCGGTTTCCATTCCTAATTGTGGGAAATTTCGTACATCCAGAACTAGCCGATACGACAGCTCCTTTGATCCTAGGGTATCTAGCTTGTAGTACGATCTACCTGAGGAGGCTATTCTTAGTTCTACTAACCTTATGGAGTTTAAAAATCGAATCAACAAAGTTTATTTAAGCTCCATATCGTAGCCGCGGTGCTCTGGTATTTAGGCCTTCAATATAAAAAATGGAAGCATGAATACTGTATTTTAGTGTGAAAGTGGTTGAAAATTTCGCTCAAAGATCAAAAACGCTTAAAAAGCTTAAAAACGCGCTGTAAAGCATCCACATCGCCAAATTCATATTATGACTATAATGAAAACTCTCACGGCACGTTTTGGCAATCACAGGAATAGCAAAACCAGCGTCGTAGGTGTGATGTTATTTGACCACAACTCATCGTGGCAATCAAGAAAAGCCGTTACACTCGTACAAAAAATTTTATCAAATTTACAAAAGCATAAAGTCTATTTTAAACACGATCAGAATGTACAGGCCCCATACTACTTACTCATCACTCTTACTAATTTGAATTAGAATATTTCATTGTTTATGCGGACGCGGATTGCTGTCTGCACGCGAAACGGCACATTTATTATACAAATTTACTAAAAACTCTTACTTGATACCAAGCTTATTTATAGATCTTAAAAATAGGAAGTGTTTCACTACTTTCAATAGAAAGTCTGAAGACCTGCGGGACATCACTGCTTGGAAACGCAAATATCTGCTACAGCTTAATGCTTCCAGGTCACAGTACTGTACCTTGACTAACGCGGCTCGCCCAAGGTTGACGGATGGTCGAGTTCTACCGAAGAGCCGTTCATTTCGGCTGTTCGAAGTCCTCATCACCAAGGGCTTGGTCTAGCACAAGCACATTCCGTCAGTGGCTAAAAGGACTTTTCTCCACATAACATCCTCAATCTGTGCAAGGCCCAGATAAGACCTAGCCTCGAGTACTGCTCACATGTTTGGGGTACTGCCACTCCGACTGCCTTATCCATGATCGATGCTGTCCAAAGGGGGGTTGTCCAATTGATCGATGACTCCTCTCTAATGGACAATCTCGGGACCATTTCGCAGTGATAGACCGTAGGCTTTTCTGTCGCTATGTTATCCGGCTTTGCGGCTCAGAGCTCTCCTACGCGACGCGCCTGCCAGAAAGACCTACCAGACTTCACCCTCTCATCCTAAAGGTGTCGTACTTCGTACTTTCAGAACTGGTTGTACTTCGCATATTCAGAACGACCGCTCCTTTGCTCCTAGGGTGTTGAGACTGTGGAACAGGTTTGCCTAAGGGAAATTTTTCCAGTTCCCCTTACCCTAGGCAGTTTAAAAATTAAATTAGCAAAGTATATTTAAGCTTCCTATAGCAGTTGCGTTGTCCCGGTATTTAGGCTTCTGCCTACGTGGCTGTTTCGGTATTGAAATCTCATTTTCTCTGATAGGCTCTAAGATTGGCATTGATTAATTAAAAAGCTTGAAGCTTGAGGCATACAATTTTGACTATGCATCCTCTTTCGCCCCAGGTATATTGCTGAGGACGAATTATAGAGATTTCGTTTTAGCTGATATTATAGTTTCATTTCTGCAAAGTATAATGGTGTTTCACGTTATTCTTGAGCTTTAAATTCTTGTCCCTTACTACGTTCTCCTTTACACGCTTGTGGTTTCCCACTACTTTACGCCTCATACCAAAAGCAAAGTGCAGCTTTGTGAGCTTGTTGCAGAGCTGCTGTTCTCTTCTCTGTCGCGATTTTCTGCTTCACTTATGTGCTGCATTTAAGTTAAGAACATCGATTGGGAGAAATCCTCCATACTATTCTATTCCAGGTATCTCATTATTGTCGACTACGTGAACTAAAATACTTCCATTGGTAATTGGCTTAGATTGTGTAGAAACCTAAACTTGATTATAGCTCATAATATAAAATAATCTGCTAACAATATGCAATTAATAGTTTCATCAGGTTGTTGTAGAATTTCGCAGGGCACAAAATGCCACAACTGCATCTCTTTCTCAAATGACCATCAGAACATCCAGTAAAAATGCTTTGCTTGAGGCCAGCACTAGGACGATGTGGACCAAGGAGATTTTTTTCCTAGTCACGAATTCTACGCTAAGAACGTCATCCGCTTATTGCAAGCTGAGGAAAGAATTGCAGGACCTGAATTGCAATGCCTTGTTGCAAGACATTTGGAAGCTGGCAGAGTGTAACAGGAAGCATGATCTGTAGAGCTGTTAGACACACGTCAAAGATGATTTTCTGCTATTCGATAGAGCTCGACTGCCAAAATCACGTAACCTTTTTTACTGTTTTGATCAGTTACCAGTAATTTTAAATTCACTTTATTAATAGTAGACTGCCCATTTCTAGGTCAAACCCCTTTTTAATGATTTAAGTATTATTAACGACTATCTCAGAAATTTCCTCATAAAATTTTGTTGGTCCCTCGTAGAGAGTTGACCAGCGCGCCACCTTGTGATTTCCGTTCGTACTAGCTGTATATGAATGTTTACCTTCATATCTACCGTCTGTTAAAATTTGCTTTACTTTTAAGATACCTTCTTTACCGGCTTTTCTCTGTTCCTTTTGATTTTCTGTCGAACGTGCCTTCTTCAGAGCCACTTACTTTACCTTCTTTAAAAAGTTAGGTTCTGCGTCATTTACTTTCGGAGATTGTGGTGTGAGTGTCGTTTCATTAGTTTTCAGATTCTGGGTTATTAGACTCCCAAACACCAATTTATGGAGTAGTACCCTTTTATTTTGTACCTTAGGCTTAATTGTGTTGGTTTGGGTACCACCCGTCCACTTTCTAATGGGATTTTAACCTCCAGCGGTAAGTTCTCTTTTCTATACCACCGGACTACGTCCATTAAGAAGTTTGTTCAATATCTGCTTCCTTTTAGAGGAAAGCCATTGCGGGGGACCATCATTCACACTCCTCCAGCTTTGTTTTGTAGCTGCCTTGTAGCGGTTTCGCAGCCGATTTTGATAAAAAAAACCCTGACATGAACTGGTAAAATATTATTTGAATTGGGTATTTTGTGGATATTGTGGATTAATTATTGCTGATTGAAATTCTTAGAGTGTTCTGGATTTTGTTTGGCGTTTTACGTATTCTAATATAGGATAGTGCCTACCTGTCACCCTCTTTTGGGCTTATTACATTACATTGATCATCCGCTCTCCGCTTTATTGAGCTAGGACCACTTAACAGCTGTTTTGCATTGACTGATCTTTAGATTTCATTTATAGTGATTTATTAATCCATTAATTAATTAAAGAAAAAGGAAAGAGGAATCACACCATCATTTCCTCTTATTTATGAAAAAAGACGTGGCACAACCAGAACTGCCACTGCTCAAGAGGGGCTAGTTGTCTATAACATGAACATGCTCGAGTACAAACACTCCTGATAATTGGGCGGTGAAGGTATTTACAAACTTTGTTTAGCTGCTATACGTATAAAGTTAGAGTTCACTTATAAGTGCTTCCCTGTTTTGTATATGAACGTCAAAAACCATTTGCTCAACAACACAATAACACCACTCACATCTCCGTTAGTAAAGTAAACACAAAAATACGCCAGTATAAGGTAAAAACATTATAATGAGGCCAAATCCGATTCACTTTAACCCAGTAAGAAATTCAAATCGTCGTACGATGCTGGAGAATCCAGCAATTAAGTTTGACTTTCAAATTCGCCAGCGTCGGAAATCTATTTATAATTCTGTTCAACACGAATATTCTCACTTCTACGGAAAAAATTAATTTACTTTCCTCTTTTGTCGATCTGTTGGGCGCTTATTAATTTATCTGTCCCTTTAATATCCATCATTCAGTTCAGCCTAGGGAATGAAGGTGGGTGCCCGAAAATATGTCGGTATGCGCGGTTAATACGAGGTCAAATTGAGACTGCAGAG